ACACGTGTATCACTAGTTATATTCAGCAACAAAATCAAGTTTCTGTCCAATGTCCACAGTGTTCTCAGCTGTTCAACAGTAATATGAAGTTAGTGAAAAACTGGAGTTTGTTTGAAACTGCACAATCGATGCAAGTTGCAAGCAGAACTGTCTATGAGATATACCTTCTGGATACAAGTACACCGATGTTTATCGGTTTAGTTGGAGACAGTCGACTACAATTAGGTCAAATATTTTTGAAAAAATTATTTCAGAAGAGGTAACTTAACTGTTTACTGCTTATGACAGTCTTTACTATGTTTTTTATCAATTCTATTCACATTTTTAAAGACAGTCCCAAATGAATGAACAATTTCTGGCAAATATTTATTGTAGATACAGAGATAAGGGAGCGTACGAGAAAAATATTCACTATGTTTATTGCTCTAGAATCGGTTTACCGCAATATCAAACTGCTCTGTTCACATTTGATAGCTGGACTAAACTAGTTTTTGATTTTATAACAATAGAAGAAACAAATATTGGGGATGTGGAAGCACTGAAAGCTTCTGGTAGCCAAATATCGTATTTTGCTACCACAACAATGATTATTATTTACCGAATTTGCGTCTTCATCGATATCGACACTTTCCAACAATTCATCATCAATACGAGACAAAATATCACTAAACTCAGCATTCTTACTTTTCCAGTTATAATAAGCAGTGCGACAAGCATTGCAAACTTTGGCCTAACAAGACACCGATTTCATTGTTCGAATGGATATGAATAACCGTAAGCTAGGTGACTTCAGTGTTCGAACGGTAGAAGTTCGACAATAATCGTGTGGCATTCTATTATCTTAGAACATTTCGATGAATAACTGTCCGTCACTAACTGAATAACAGTAAGAAAACAATAAAATGAATGCGTCTTGTATTTACAAGCACGATATTTCTTTTGAACACATGTCACTCCCGGCCCGACGAATATATTTCTAGACAAACATCTATCCTTTTCCTTTTATTTCATTTTTATGAGTAGGACACCCCATGTCCTGCCTGATATGTAATGACTACGTATCTTTTGAATTTCGGATCAGTACGTCCTTCATATATTTCGTTGGCGGATGAGCAGATTGGTACCTATGCTTTCCAACTTTCCAAAAGCTCTATCGAACGATATGCAAACTAACTTGGCGGGTGAGCACATTGGTACACGTTGACACACGATTCCAGTGAACAATATCAGTATTATAGAAATATGAGGACAATATTGTCCATGTGAAGTCATACCGGTCAATATTTTTTCTTGGATGTTTATATACCATTTTGTAGCGCTTGAAAAGCTCTATCGAACCCTATGCAAACTAGTCTGACCAGTTATCGGATTGGTAGAGAAAAAGAGCTGATTATCATCAACAGTCGGACTTTATGTATGTGACACCTATTAACTATTTCAAGCGGCCTGTGCGCAGCTCAAACAAGTGCATTTGGAGTAATTCTACCAGAGATCACTTTTGGACACCTTTTGTGATAGTTTGACATACAAGAAACGAGATTTCTCGAATGGGCCGATTTCATCAGTTATCGCCCCCCCCCCTCCTTTCTGTATTAAATTTTAGCCCCTTTTTTCCGTTTTGTTGTTCTTTTTTCTGTTCTGTTCCTCTTTCAGCAATTGGATCCGATCGAAAGTGTCACTGGACAATTTAATTCGTACCAATAGGAGACTTTAGCAACAATAATTTCGCAAAAAATTTGGTCACGGTCTTATAATCAGGGTAGCCATGTATGTATACTCTTTCTTCACTCATTGTCATATGATGGAAGTGTTAAAGATTATATCTTTAAAATATGATACGTGTGGATACTCTTTTACGGTAATATACAGAGTCAGAAAATAAAACTCGAAAGCTTTTGGTAGATTTTTTGCAATGTTCATATTACTACTATTTCAGTTTGGTCAACGTTTGCCAAATACTTGAGCGCTTTCACTTATTTTAATTTCAGATATCAATGTTAAGAAAGTTCTTTTAAGATATGTTTTTATTGTTAGCTTTATTATTATTATTAGTGATCAACAACGGCAGAACGATAGACAATGAAGACAAACAGAAAGTAATTATTCCATTTTATTAAGTAGGATACTTTTGATATTGTTGATTTTTCTTTCTTTAGATCATTAACAAGATATTGACCGTCATTCCCGATGAGAAGGATTGGACTATGGTGCTGTCGTTCCTTTCTATTCAGGGAGATAACAGTGTTTATATGAACACCTTCCATATTTTGTTCAATGACGATAAAAAGTTCAGAGCCATGGTATTACAGCTCCTTGCCTCGTACTGCAGATAGAGATCCAGAATTTAATAAACTAATGAACGTTATTTGGGAAGGATATATAAAAAGTGATCCCGATGGAAAAATGGATCCTGTATTTGATTTAGATCTTAAGGCGTATGATGAACACAACGTGTTTATCATAAATCTCTTTGATATTCTAAAAAGGCTTCCACCAGCTCAGCAAAAACGCATTTGCGCGGATATAATTACTTTAGCAACTAAAATTGCTGGACCACAGGGCGCATTGACTCGGTTGACAAGAGGTGCAATTAAATTTAGTGACCGAGCTGGTTATCTTGCTCATGTGACCATTGTCTCTGTTCTATTATCATGGGAAGCTCTTCAAAGTATCTCTCTCTGGTGGAAGGGTGAAATATCTGGCCAAAGATGTGCGAAAAACATTATTGATGCTGCGTCGACTGTTGCCGGTGGTGTTGGTGGTGGAGCACTTGGCTCAACTATCGGTACAGTTATATCTCCTGGTGTAGGTACGTTTATCGGTGGACTCATTGGCGGCATGATTGGCTCTAATGCTGTTGCTACATTATCGAAATGGCTTACCGAGCATCTCTTTGATTTGCCACCGACTGTCGCATTGGAGAACGCATACAACTTTCTAGGTCTTACAGCATCTTGCACAAACAGTGACATTAATACGGCGTACAGAAAATTGGTTCTCTTATATCATCCCGATAAAGGTGGCCCCCCAGAATATTTTTACAAATTGCAATATTATGTTGCTATAATCAAGCAAGCACGCGGAGAAGGGCTCTAGTGCCTCTCTCAAAGTTGTATAACACGTACCGTAACTGTCTGTTGTCAATAATTAGTTGTTACAATTCATATCCTTTTAGAATACTTACTTTTTTGTAGAGTTTTGTAGAGCACAAATTTTCTATCTAATGCGTCAAAACTGAGTATTGAAACTATAGGGAAGTGCCTAACAAAATTAAAGCAAACACCGCTGGTTCATTACGGCCTACCCTTTATATAGCGGAACTAATAATTCACAACTCCAGCCAACGCTGTTTGAAATACTTCATTCTTTTCTACTGAATTTCACTGCCGCAATTTTTCATCCTTGTTTTTAACTATAAAAGCACTTGGGCAGAATGAAAAGAAAGAAACAAAAAGTAATTTCAGTTACATGAGAAACAACAACGTGGTGCTTGGTTTTTTCCAACTGTAGGGTTAGTCTATTTTATACACTAGTAAAACTGGAAAAACGTCTAGATGACAGGAAAATTCATATTTATTATAGACATACATTCTTCACGTCTTTTGTGTTGCAACGAATAATAGCTGAACGTCAAGAATTAAATTGCATACAGTACACGCGTATAAAAATTTAAGTTCGACTAGAAAAAATATTTATGAAAAATGTCATTTTAATTTAAATCTCACAGTTAATTAAAAATATTATTCACTAGAAATCTTTAAAAAGTAAGGTGCACGCAAAGCAAAATTCGAGCAAAAAATTTTTTTTTCGATGTTTCAGACACCATTCGATAGAGAATTTT